GTCAGTGATTGTTCAATCTAACAATCACTGACAAAGTACAGTGACTGTTAGGTTTAACACATCGTTGTTTTTAGGCAGGGTGGCGGGAATTGAAATTGCTGCTGCTACTCAACAGCTTGTTGCTAGGTAACCAAAGAACAAGTGAGTTAGTTGATTCCGCCCAGCTAGCTTAGCCAAGAGAGGTTGAACAGCTAAAGCCTTTTTTTCTGCCTATTAGCTCAGTGAATATTCGATATATTAAATATATTCAAGGTTTTATTGACTCTATTGGCCTTTATTTGACAGATAATTGACAGGAAAGTCAGTAATGAGAGAAAGGGAAGACATGCAGCAAAGGTTGCCAGGCCGAGAATCGAACCTGCGACAGCTGCATCGAGGACCCCTGCACCACCACAGCACATCCCTTCTATATATTGATTATTCTATCAGATGTATTATCTATTGATATTGGTCAAGTGTCTATCACAATGTATAACGTCATTGATTTGCTGTCCAGCTCTACCCAGATCGTAGGTATAACACCTGAAACATGGTCAGTTTAAGAAATTTTGCCTGTCTAGTAACTTTTTGTTGGTTTCGGTCTCACTGTTGGACCAGCTGCTTCAGTTCAGTGCCTCATGCTAACATGACTATGAGAGGGAGGACTGTTGGGGTTCCCAGAGGATAAACTCTGCTGACAGACTGGTGCTAACTATAAACACAACCAGGCTTTACAGGAAACACAGTGGCATTCTTCTTCCCTATCTGTCACTTCATCCCCAATTCAGCTGCTCACTCTTTCCCATCATCCTAACATGTTTCTGTGTCTGCCGCACCTAAAATTAGAAAGGTTGATCTAATAACCTGGTAGCTATATCAGAGTTTGATGACAACTTCAACTGGAAAAAGCAAGCAAAGATATTCAGCTTTTTGTCCCATAATTTTCCTTGACTTTTACTGTAGTGCATGGTCGCCATCCATACCTTCATAGGTGACACTGCAGTAGGCATCACTGACGTCGTCGTCCGGCGTTTGTAGACGCTCCGCACACAGAATGAACACACGCAGCATTGCTCAGGCACACACAAGCACAAGTCCTTCAGATCCCATGAACACCAACACACACGCTGTGGTCCATGTATCCCAAAGACACATCCAGGAAATCAGGGAAGATCCATTTAAAGATAGCGAAGGAAAGGAGAAGAGGAGGAATGAATAAGGGCTTGGAGAGCGTCTGGTGGAGCAGCTGCCTCACCCCCTCCTACCTCCAGCACTTGCATAGCCGAGCAATAGTCCACAAGCTGACTCATGCTTGGACACACACCGTCCCTTCAATCACAACTGGCTTAAAGGGCTACTCACTCACAGAGTGGCCTTTATTTTCCAACCATCATCCTCCAAACAACATGCCACTGTTATCCCCACTCTTCTGCTGGAACAATCATGCAGGAAATTAATTGGAGATTCAATTTGGATGAAATGTACTGGACAAGCAGAGCAGCTATGAGTCTATAAAGGATTTTATTAACGCTGGACTGAGTGCATAAAATGAGTAAAAGTGAATAAAGGCTAATCTTATACCTTTGAAACCCTTGAAAAATAACACAATTTTCCACTTTAAATCTTTAAAAGGATGATATTATGTATTTTTAAAACTGTCACAATAACAAAACTTACTGGACATTAAATTGTCCCAGACGTTGTAGCAATAAATAATAATGTTATTTAAAGACCATTTTGAAGTATTATAATGATAATGTCATAATAAAGCAAGAAAAACACATTCAAAAGTCAGTAACCTTTAAATTAAAATGAACATTTAAACACAATAAATCAGGCAAATGGAAATTATTAAGCCGATTTTTGTTGGTCACACGATTAATTGATTTACTGCTAATTGTGACAAACGAAGACACAAACTGTCTTTTTGTTTATTTCAATGAAATTGTAGACATATTCAGGACACGCTTGAGTCCTTCTTTAATAGCTGTTAAATAGCTTGTATTAACAGTCATTATTGAATTTCTCTACAGACTAATTGGTGTTATTAAGAGAAAGAAGGGCTGGACCAATTTTCATGGCTGGTTTTCAGTGAAGAATAGATCTTCTGGTACAAAGTAAACAGCACTCCTTTCATTTATTTAAACTAAACTCTATGTATATCCAATCCATAAATAAAGTTTTTTAAGGTCCTACTTCTAAACTAAACAGTTGTGGTAAAAATACACAGTCCAGAAACTGTAGTAAGGACTTAAACCATAAGGCAGAAAGACACATTATTATTAAAGACTCTAAGAATAAATGTACAATTTATTGTCCAACTACATGAATCCAACCCAGAAGCCTGTCCCTTTGTGCCATAAGACTGAGATAATCCTAATCTCATGGTTTGGATCAATAAGCAAAGCGGTCAGAGAGAAAGGCAGTTAGGGGATTTCACAGTCTAAACTTTGGACTTTACAGACTGTAAAACTTCAATTCACACATTTTCACCAACTGCCAAAGAACAATATTAAAAACCAAAGTTTTATACATTCAGACAAGAACAAACGAGGTTTGCAAATCAGAGCAGGCTGGAATATGTCAGGAGGAGATTTCTGTTGCCTTTTTATTTATAATGCGACCCACTTGGCTGCAGGCATTCAGACTGTGTGTGTGTGCGTGCGTGTGTGTGTGTGTGCGTGTCCTGGTGGGAAGTTTGCTAATTTTAGAGTGGGGGATAAAGCTCAGCATGTTGACCCCACATTGTACGTTGTTGCACCACTAGTGCAAAATTCACTTTTTGTACTTCCATTTGAGTCTCTCCTGTTTCTACAAGCAAGCCAAGCACAAAAAATACAAACAAAATACAGCTGTTTTATCTAAAAATAATAATTTAATATTCTTAGGTGGATGGATACAAGGGCAATTCTAGGATCTGACCTTTAGGGGGGGCTAAGCCCCCAGCAGGGCTGAGACCCATGAGAAGATATTTGTTATATAAATCTACTGCTTATTTACAAGAGACATGTCAGTAATTCATAGAATTAAAAAAACAATGTTTAATTTACTCAAACAACTTATAAAGAGTAAAATCAGAGAACCTTAATTTTTTCCAGAGGTGTATAAACTCAGTTTGAACCAGAATCTCAAGACATCATACCTGCCAACATCTGCTAACATTAATGAGACACATGCAGCTGTGGAGTGACACAGTCCTAGTGGGGGCTGCAAAAAATTGTCTTTACTGTTTTCTTTAGAGGCTGGTTAAAAACCAAATTTACCACAGGGGCCTGTGTAGTCTGATTTTTTATGGAGACACTAAAAAAGAATTAAACACAAACAGAGCAAAATTTCATCATTTAACAGGTGAACCAAAGAGCCACTTGTGTCTCCAGAGATTCAGGTAGCAGATCCTGATCTAGCAGATGGAAAGTGTGATCCTATCTCAATGCAGCAGCTAAAAGTGCAGTACTATAATTTTTAATTCATTGTTAAAATAAAATTGTGAAAGTTTAAAAAAATATCTACCACTAAATATTTTAAAAAGACATTTATTTAGTATAATTTCTTCAGAACTCCTCTTGGCCCCCGTCTAGAACCGCCCTTGTCCTGCAGATCTGGGGTATTTTTGCTTACTGGTTTTTTGTTCCTTGATTGAAAGTCGGGTTACCCAAACTGCTAAACAATATTAATAAACTGTTAACGAAGTAATGCATCAAATGACCACTGAACAGCTATTTATAAAATATATCAACATTTGTGAATAAAACACATGGAAAGTAATGTAATGTAGAAAATATTGATGTATTTAGTGTTAATCTATTAGTATGATTTATTCTTTAACTAGTCACTTATTTTGGCTAATGCTATTATTTATTAAATATCCAAACTCAACATCCGAAACAATATTAATAATCAAACTGAAGTCACAGTAAGAAACTGAATCAATAATAGTAAAATGTTCTGTACCATATCAGAGGACGAAGAGACGCTGATTTCTGGTTCTTCAGGTTCTGATGGTCTGCGGTTCCTCAGCTGATCCATTCTGTCTGTTACACAGCGGCGCCATGATGGACACATTGTTTTGTCTTTCAAAGTACACAATATCGATCTTTACTCAAAAATTGGTCAGCTTATAATGCGCGTCTTTTCGCTCACGTCTGTATTTTTTAAAGCATTTCTTCTTGGGTAGAAGACGATTTAAAAAGACGCGGGTTGATAAGCAGCTCACCGCGGCTGCTCAGTGTCCGTCTCTAGGCAACCGTGACGTTCAGCGTCGTTCCGTTGCGTTCAGGGGTCCTTCAGCTCCCGTCACGACAGTGTAGCTGACCTTAATATTGCCTGTGTTTTATTTTGGCCATTATTGTTAAACTTAAGTGTTGATTTGTTTATTATTTGATGTGTATATTTTAGGCGTGTCTATCGGACATTTATGTATCGGTTCAATACGGGACGCTCATTTAAGGGCCAAATATGGGACGATTCTGTATTTTACGGGCTAGAACAAAGGCAGGACCAGATACTGCTTCACAGAATGATTTCTACTACATAAGCTCAGCTAATATTTTTTTTTCTTAGCTCTTATGCTTTTCATGTGCTTGTTTTCTACAAATCAAATCAAATAAAAGTTGATTTCTATAGCACATTTCAGCAAGAAGTCAATTCAAAGAGCTTTACATTATGAAAACACAGAAATAAAGTCATAAAACACAGTAAACAATTGAACCATTACAATTTGCCGTAATTACACTTCAAAAGCGACTCTATTCAGGTGGGTTTTTAGTTCAGACAAGACCTGTCTGACAACCGTTGAGATTTTTCTACTGTTGCTCGTCGTTTCTGAAGGTTCAGGTCAGACTTATCGTTATAAAATTATTAAATAAAGTTTATCACACAGATATAAAAATCCACTGAACTATTTCTGTTTACTGTCATCACTAAGTTTAGTCTGACAACCGTTGAGATTTTTCTGCTGTTGCTCGTCGTCTCTTCTCGTCTCTCCAGGTCTCTAGATGCCGAACGATAAAGTGACAACAATCACAGATCAATCAATATTTTATTCAATCAATCAAAAGCATGAAATCACAGCAACATCCCAACATGATCATTGATGATCACAAACAAAAGGAAACATTGATCACCTTGATAGATACAGAGAAGCGTCTTCAGAGAGCACCGTGTCTCACCCAGTGATCTGACCAACTGTTGTAGCTCACATTCATTTATACCTGGCTGTGTCCAGGTGGGTTTTCTACCTGGACCGTCCTGACCTTGGCAGGCAGGAGATGGACGCTCTCCTTCATCATGATTTTCTACCCACAGATGATCCAGGAGTCATTTTGAACAGAATATTCTTCTCAAGGACGTGGGACTGAGTTTATCAGTTCACTGGAGCGTTCCACTAAGTTCTCCTCCCTGCCGTCCTAAACAGCCTCAGACTGGTTTCTGAGACCACAAGGCGCTCTCCTTGACCCCTCAATGACCCCTCTGTGACCCCACATGTCAGAGTTAAACAGAAGATTGATTACAAAGAATTGATACACATAAAATATAATGTTCATAAAGAAAATTGAATGACAATCAGTTTAAGATCAATACAAAATATAAAGATTAAATGGATGAAAACCCGACTAATTAAACTACAACTGATTAACCCATAAATGAAAGACTAAGTGCTGAGTAACATGACTTATAGAGTAGAAGATAGTAGACACAACTAAATGCAGCTCAAATGTTTTACAGTGCATTTAAGATTTTAAGCTGAATAAAAATCCCAGAGATAGAAATGCTGCACATGAACACAGAGTAGCAATCCCTCTGTAAATATCAGCTTTAATGAAAACATGATGCCAAATATTGTCCTTATTTACTTTGTATTAATAATCTATAATAATAATTTGTGAAAGTTTATCTGTTTTATTTTTTTTTAAATGCATTGACAGACTAAATTACTGAAAACAACCATAACTCCCTGAAGTATTTAAAATATAGAGGAAGATTAAATCAAATTTCCTGCAGGGATCAGATTCATTCTCCTGTTTGGCCACTAGGGGGCAGCTGTTTTATTAGCTATACCGAAGCTTAGCAGGTGAACCTTTATGTCTGCAGGCAGCCCTCCTGTAATCAGTTGATCTTGAATCTGCAGAAGAAAACATGAAATCTATGTTAGATACAGTCATTTAAAATCTTCTAGTTAAAAAAGGAAAAAAGTCAAGAGTTGAATTTAACCATCACAACTCAATATTTTAATAAAATAAAGATTTATACAGAAGAGGAACTTTAAAATATTGTAGATTTGAAACATAAAATCTAGCAGGTTTTTCATCATTTAAAAACTCTACAAACTAAATATTAAATGTTGATAGTTTTTATTATCTTTGGACTTTTTGTATTTTTTTCAGCAACAAGATCTGGATCACTCATTCTTTATAAACTTTTGCTTTATTTACTGTCAGGTTCTGTGTTTTTCTGTGTTTAATTCTGAGTTTCTGTGTCCTGAGTTCTCCTCCTTGTCCTGTCTTCCCCTTGATTGTTCCCAGGTGTGTCTCGTTCCCCTGATTACCCTGAGTGTATTTAGTCCCTCCTGTGTCCTTTGTTCCTCCTCGGGTCCTTGTCGTACTTTTGCCTTTATCTGCCGTTGTGTGTTTATTAGCCGCCTGTATGACCAGTTGCTACCGGCGTTGAGCCCTGGCTTCCGCTCAGCCGTGCTGCCTGGCCGCGGACTACGTCTTTGACTGTTTGTTGTTGTTATTGGACTATTTTTCATCATTAAATATTCACCATTCACCTACCTGGGTCTCCAGCGTCTGCCTCACCATCTCCACTTCACCACTTCATGACATTAAGTGAAGTTTACTAAAGTATATTTTTAACTGGTTCATATTTAAAGCATGGAAGTTCATTCTTTGTTACTTTACATATTAATTTAAGTTATGAAATAACATTTGGGATAAATTAATTAGGATTAAACTCAGGTTGTGATGGTTTGTGTTAAAGTCCAGGACGTCACTGACCGCTTTCTCCAGTTCATCTTGTTTGTCTTTCAGTGACATCGAAGTCTTGATCTTCAGCTTCACAACCTTAACATGAGCTGGAAGAGCAAGAGATCAACATGGAGTAAAGAACAACTTCCTGTTACTTTCAGTCCTGTTTTCATCCCACTTACATGTTTTAGGAGGAGGACTTGTAGTTGTCAAAGGGAGAGCAACAGTGGTTGGAGTCACAGCTAAGATAACAGAAACATGAGTTCAGGAAATAAAAGGTAAAAATAAATCAAGGATGAAAATAAAGAATTGACTTACATGTTTTAGGAGGAGGAGATGGAGTCACTATGAAAGGTACTGGGATAAGAGCAGCAGAAACATCATGAGTTCAGGAAATAAAAGATAAATCAATGATCAAGAAGAAAAACTCACTGTTTGAAACCGTCACAATGACGCATCGAAGCTCAGACTGGTAGACAGAACTGGAGGCACTGGGGAGATAATTTAGCACCAAAACTTTAATATTAAATTCTTTTTCATTTATTAATGTTCAAAATAACTATAAAGGAGAAATATTATGCAAAATCCAGTGTTTTAGTCCTTAAATAATTTCTTTGATTGTAATAAAATAAAATGTAACTTTATTCTCTCCTGATGCTGCATAGACATCATTTTTCATTCTGTTCATGTTTCTCTATTTGTTATAACATTATCTCTGTTATGATGTCGCCACGTTTTCTGTGGAACTGATAAAGGAGGTCATGACCTCCAGCTGGTCAGTTTTGAGAATCCGCCATTTTTTCCCTCAACAATTTTATGGTCCAAGTTCAGTTGTGCAAAGTTTGAAGTAAACAAGTCAAAACATTTGGTTCTAGGGTTTATTAATGCAGAGGATTTCTTACATCGCCTCCCAAAATCAGAGCCTCTTTGAAGGATCTGGTGAGATTTTATTTTTTAAGGAATCTCTCATTTTGGAGATCTTATGGATCTCTGCTTCAGCAACCTGTCAGAATCAGGAGGGATTTTCATCAAGACATTTTGTATCACTGAACCTTTTCCTTTAACTAAAGTAAACTAGTCATGTTTATCAGTCTTTTTCAGATACGTTTCTGTGTTTCTACTTAAATGGAGAAAATGAAAACATTTGAAACTTCTGATCAGATCAGATACTGACGTTGCCTGGACAGCAAAACAGACGGGATGACTTTCATCATCATTATTTTGACCGAAAGACGGCGTCCATCTCAGGGTGAAATATCCTGAACCAGATGAACTCTTGACCATGTTGAACGGTCCACTGAACTGGATCCCAGTGATCCTTTAACACACAGGAAACACATCAGTCTGTTTGGTTATATCAGCAAAATGCCATCAAACCTGCATTAAATAGTATCTTCAAAATGTTTGCCGTGAAAATTTACCTTTAATTGGAGACTATATTTATTTTCTACTCACACAGACTGAGTCGCCTCTGCTCTGATGCTGATTTCTATCGTCTCATTAAGGTCTATGAAGAACTGAGCTCCATGTTCAGGAGTTGGAGGCAGAAACCTGGGCAGATATTCACCTGCTGTGCAGGACGGAGCTGCAGGATCCACTGGAGCAACGCAGGGAAAAATAATGCAGAGAAACTAATAAAACATATTAAAGATGGTTTGTCTAGATCAGGGGTCACCAACCTCTTTGAGACTCAACTTCACAGGAACAGAGCAACACGAAGAGCTTCATGTTTGATACAGGCAGAAATGTTCTTGGCTCAGCCTTTATGATAATTTATGTATAAATATGATTACATGCTTCCTGATCATATTAATATAACTGACAATAGTTATCAGGAATAAGCCTCTTTCCTCTAAACAAAATTGTGGAGAGAAGAAAAAGATCTTTTGTGCCAAAACATCTTGTATGTACCTCACATCAGTGTGAGTCTGTGGGGGTCAAAGGGCACGCAAAAGCCTAAATCTTATTGGTCAGTTTGCTTTTCCTTCACCCATTGGATGACACCAGCAGACGTCTAAAAAAATGTCCTACAGATCAGATGGTACACACTAAACTATCACTGCCCTGCAGGAACACGACCATTGTGTGCATCGCACAAAACCAGCACAAACCTAAACCTAAATCAGTAGAGCCACTGCTCCTCTATAGCCAGTTGAGGCTTGGGCGTCTGGTCAGGATGCCTCCTGGACGCCTCCCTGGTGAGGTGTTCCAGGCACGTCCCACCGGGAGGAGGCCCTGGGGAAGACCCAGGACACGCTGGAGGGACTATTTCTCCTGGCTGGCCTGGGAGGGGAATCCAACCTCTGGGGAATCCCAGCTCCTCCAGATGAAGTCCGAAGACTGGACCTCCCTTCTGAAGCTGCTACCTCCGCGACCCGACCTCTGATAAAGTGGCAGACAATGGATGGATGGCCAAACGATGCCAAATAGTAAAGACATGGAAGCGAAGCGACCCGTGTGATCCACGGAAAGAGGAGGATGTTGATCACAGGTTCTGGTGGTATCAGACGTCCAGAGGAGGAGAAGGTGAAGCAACAAGTTTTTACTCTTTTGGGGAATCTTTCGACTTGATTAAATTGTTCAACCCTCAGTCTTACCGTGACGCTCAGGAAGAGCAGCAGATGTTCGTTAACTGGACTCGGCAGCTCTCCAGGCGGGTCGCTTGTAAATCGGCGACCCGCCAGAACCGATCACGGTGAAAATCTCTGCAGGGGTCCAAACCGCTCTAAGACCAACGGGAGGATCAAACTCCACTCATTCATTTTTGGCTTACAGAAAAAGCGTCAAGCTGCCAAATAAACTAAAGCAAACTGACCAATAGGATTTAAGCTTTGACCCCCACAGACTCACATGTGCGCTACATACAAGATGTTTTGACACATAAGATCTTTTTTTTCTCCACAATTTGTTCATTGTAAAGAAGTTTTGTTTATAAAAATTTCAGAAATTATTTTCTTTGTTTTCTTCAAGGAAAACCTCAAGGTCGGCAGAGCGGCAGCCAGACAGCTGCAGAAATCTGCATAGTTCTGAACTTTGAGCCAAAACATCTTGTATGTATCACACATCAGTGAGAGTCTGTGGATAAAGCTGTTTTATTCATAAAAAAAATTATTTTAAACATTTTTTATAATTTACTTTCTTTAAAAAGTCTAAATATTAACAAATGTTATTACTTCACTGTAAAAACAATAAATGAAATAATTTCTTTGGCAGCGCTCTCTGATGATGATGGCTATTTTTAAAACTTGTTCCACGTTGGTGACTCCTGGTCCAGACGAACAAGTGGGCAGTTCATTTAAAAAATAAAATTCAGTAAATTTACACTTTGGTCAAATAATCTGTCTTGATAATAAGTGATCTTCTTCTTATTGGGGCCTGCCCATAGCAATGCATAAGGAGACTTCGCAAGTCAGTCACTGCTCTCCTTATGCATTGCATGGCAGATACCTATTGTTCTTCACCTAATAGAACGCCTCTTTATTATTCCAACTTCTTCATCCATGACCGTTAATGCGGCTCGTACTGTTGAAATAGAATTTTAAATTAGCACAATAGTACACAGGCTAATCTTTACATTAAGACAAACTTAGATAAAGATCCAAACTAAAACAACTGGCCACTCTAAAAATTTTACATGAATTGTATAGGGAGGATCTTAAAGAAAGACAGACTGAGACTTCCTTAAATCTCTTTAGACATGGCATCTATCTGCCAGACAATTAACAAATTCCTTAGCGTGGTTCAAAAGTTTACTAGGATCTTAAAACTTTTTTATAAATATTTTATCTATATTAGAATTAAATATATTTCTTTAAGCATGTTTTGAATTAGTTACTTCTTAGATCCAAACTTATAGTCACTATTTAGCATTACATTTTGTGCAAGCTTGGTTAAAAATACAAACTACTTTCTTGTGGAATCATTTGAGGCAGAAAACTAAAACAGACAGAGGTCGTAAATTTAGCTCAGGGAGAGTTGCAGGAGACGCCTGGTACGGCAAAGACCCAGTTTGACAATCCATATATCTGCCTTTGGGGCTCTTTAGCAGGAGGTAATAAAATCAATGGGAAGGCCCACGAGGGAAAAACACACCTCCTAATGCATATATTTAAATGAGGAGAATACACATTCTTATAAAATGGTTTGTTTTACAGCAGAAGTTCGAATCTCTTTGTGCTGAGTGAGAGATTCCCAAAGGATGCATCTTTTGTTTGTTTCTGTTTTTGTTTCCCTTTCAACTCAGTTAATTGTTTCTGTTTTGTCATGTCTTGGACTTTTGATAATCTAGGTGAGATGCTTATTGTAACATTCTTTTTGCATTGATTTTCTCTGGATAAAACTCTGGATATCTGAAGTCTGATGTCGTATGATTGCTCTTTCTCACTGCACATATATTGAGACACAGGAATTCAGGATCAGAGGAATGAATTAACGAGCTAAATTAAGTTATTCCTTTTTTAAATTCTTAACAGTACCCACCCACATAAGTTATATCAAAACGTGCGGCCCGATGCCGGCATTGGAGCTATTACTTTTGGTGGGATTCGGAGTTACAATGAAAAAGTAAAAGCGAAAAACCATCAAAAATTTTTCGTCAGTTAGAAACTGCCCAAACTAGAGTGTAACTGACGTTTCGTTAGAGTGTGGGAAGCACTGTGATTCTGACCCCAAATAAATTTTGAAATTGCCGTCACGCCCACAAATATCACCCTATCGGTATTAAACTTGGTCATGACATAGATACGCATGCCTGCTCCGGTAAAATGTTTTCGAAATTTTCCTAGGTCTTACGGTTTTCTGTCTAGGTGCTTCAGAACAAAGTGATGCGACAGGATTTCCACACACTCAGCCAGGTTCACTTCCATGTATTTCTGAAAAATGTCAGACCTCAGCGCACACCATTTTTATCTCGTCGCTGTTATTACTGTGAGTGATGGACAGATATGAATTGCGGGACTATCGGAGACGAAAGATAGTCCTCTCATACGCTTCAAACGGTTTTCAGATGCGTATCACAGTTTCCAAATGGGAAGGAGTTCTTCGGACCGCTTTTTTTAGTGAAACTGGCTGCCTTTAACTGATAGAATTAAGTCTCCCCCTGTCTGACTCACAGCTGGCAGAGGATCCATTACCATAGCAACGAAACACAGCAGGGCCGAGCAGCTGATTAGGACTACAAAAAACGCATCACTGTAGTTTTTACTATGGCAGAGCTCTGAGGAAGGAGTTAGCCTTTAGAACTACTTGTGTTTTGGGCATTTTAAAACTGAATTTAACCAACCATTGTTACATATGGAATTAGTATGTCAATTTTACATTAAGCTTAATGTAAATTTCAAAATAAAAGCTTGAATATTTCTCTAAGAACTTTCAGAAAAACTAACTGCTTCAAGCACTTAGAATTAAGTCTCTCCTTTTGTGTCACACTTACATGACAGTTGACCTCCTCTTTAAAACTACAATGACTGCAGGTTAGAACTACAACATGGCGGAACACTGAGTGCCTACAAAGAGGTCAGAGCTTATTGTCAGAACTACAACATGGCAGACCTGTCAGTTACTACTGATGAGAAATGAGCTAGCCATGACAAGTACTTGTTTTTTTGGAATTTAGAACTGATTTCAAAACACCAGAGTTACACATGGGATTAGTGTTACCATGGGCTCTTTGCGCCTGCCGCGCTGACGTCACAACTGCATGACCAAATACGCCTCTCTTTTTTCCGCTTTCAGTTACTATACTGCTATAAAAATCAAAGTCGAACTTAAGAGACAAATAAAACAATACTATGCACTTTGTTTAAGTTTTCATGGATTTTCAAGCGATCCTGAATTAAGACGGCTTGTAAATATTTGTTGCTACCAGTTAAAGCTAACGCCGCACAACAAAGTTTGCAGCCTTCACTTGTCTCTGGATCAGCTTCTTCAGCCTAAAGACGAAGGTAAAGGAGCCGTCCTGTGTTATTAACATTAAATCGCTTCTGTATTCAGCCTGAAAGAGCGAGTGATTGGGAACGAGAGAGCAGAGCCAGACAGCCGAGCAACTGATCCGCCTGTACACATCGCTGTAAACACCGTCCTAATGAGCCTGGGCTCGTTGTGCTTCGTCAGGCTGGAAGCAAAAAGCCTGAACTGTAATCTGCTCCCCCCGCCCGCGTTTATTGTCGTTAACAATAAATACATATAATATACTTGAAAATAAGGTACAAACATTGTCCAATAGAATGGATGAGAAATGTTTAGATACTTAAATAGCAGATTTTTACAAGAAAAATGTCCGAGAAATTGCCTACTAGCATAAGCTAAAGCTAATGTTAGCCACAAAGTTTAAAGGAAATAAAACTCACCTTCGTGCCTGTGAATGTATAACGAGGCGAACATCTTAAAACCTTTCTCCGGCTTACTTATTGGGGCTTCAGATCGATGTACATTATTAATTGTTACCTTGGAAAAGCCCTGCAAATACCCGGTGTAAAGTACCGTTTTCAATAGATCGGAAACATTTTAGCCGTCTTTCCCGAACGCGGAAGCTCAGGTGCAAAGAGTCCACTAAAAATTAAGCTTAATGTAAATTTCAAAATAAAAGCCTTGACAATTTTTCCATCAAGTAAGTGCTCTTTTGACCATTATATAACTGATTTAACCCAATCATTGTTAAACATGGGATGAGATTGGCCATTTAAAATCAAGCTCAATGAAAATTTCAAAATAAAAGCCTTAAGATTAATCTATGGCTAATGCAGCACCACAGCTGCAATGATATTAGCTTGCATGATCTTTCTCATTAAGGTTAGGGCTCTAGCAAGGCAGAGCATTAACATCACAAACATTAGCATTTCATTGTTCCCCACTTGTGCACTGCCAAAGGCAGTGCAATAAGATTATCCAGCATGTTCTTTTTCTCCCAGCATGTTCTTTTTCTCACTTAGGGTAAAAAATGCTAATGCTCTGCAAAGCAGAGCATTAGCATTAGCCCATGTTTGTTATGGTGAATGGAGTAAGTAAACTACAGAGATCATGCTCGTGATTGTCCACATGCTACTGACAGTATTCATGCTAACATTAGCATTTTGGCTAATTTAGTTTATACACTTATTTTAACATACTGAATGGTGCAAGTCCATGTTAGTGAACATTCTTGTGATTCTCCACATGATACTTTGTCATTTATAGCAAAGCTTGGCATGGATGCTAATGTTTAGCATCAGAACGCTGGGTCCAAACCGACGGGCACACTTTGGCAGGCCTCGGTTAAATTTCTTCAGGAATTTTCTAGTTGTATTATATTCCTGTATCTGGAATTTAAAAGCTTGATGTCCTTTAATAATCTGTAGTTATTGATTAGCTTTAAAATACAACTATTAAATATTCAATTTATTTACACCAGTGTTTCTCTTTGTGACATAAAACAAACTGATTGAAACATAAAATCAAACCTTTGAAAACAAACTGGACAGAGATTTGGGTCATGAAGTTGCTGGGGCTCCATGAATAAGTTGAACCATCAGAACGAGTCAAAGTGATTGACCATCTGGGAAAATCCTCCATCATCAGCTGAACTGCATATGAACCTTCATTACTGCTGCTGGTTGGACTGAATGATAGAGAACAAGCCTGCAGGAGGACAGAGAGAGAAATTAACAATGTTATATTTAATAGATTTATGTTGTTTTTGTTCATACAACAATATTTGTTACTTAAAAAGTTTCAGAGTAATGTTTCATCATTAGTGATTTATAGTCAAATAATCAATAAATTAAGCTTAATTACCTTTGATCATTTTCTACTGCATTACTGTAAACTGACACCAACATTTATTACTCACTGATGAGACACTGAGGACAGACGGTGCTGTGCAAATGTAACACTCATAGTCACTGGGATTAGAACCATATCTGCATTGAACATTATCTCCATCAGGGTCAAAGGTTAACAAGTTGATATCCCTCTGACAGTTTGAGGGAACTCTGAGAGAAACAGAAAACATCACAAAGTCACCTGACAACAAACAATCTGCTCAAATTATCTTATTCACGTGAAGAATCTTTAATATCTTGACTGATTTGTATTTCAGTTTTTATTCTTTATGTTTATTTTGTTTCTCTTTGGTCTCTTTTAAAATAAAATCTATTCACAACATTTGGATATTAATTGGAAACTATTTCTAATTATTAAAGCTCTATGGTTCGGCTTTACAAAAAAAAAAAGAAAGAAAAGAAAACAGGACAAAATACCAACAAACTAAACCTATAGTTTATGCTCAACTAAAGACACCAAAAATATTAACTTTACTAAAAAAAACTACCTGAATTACCTGATAAGAGGGATGATGCTGGTCTGTGGTGATGAGTTCGGTCTGTTGATGTCGGATCGTTTTCTCAGCTCAAATGTGATCCGAAATCGCCCAAATGAAACACCGTTTCTGTTATTTACCCAGGTTGGAGGAGTCCACCTTTAATAGAAGATATTGGGAAGATTTCTGATGTTACTCAGAGTTTCTGACACAAAGATAACTGACAAGAGATTTAATTCAGTAGGATTTTTAGATTTAGTTACTTCTTGGGAACAACTGAGAAATGTTGGATATTTTTGTATGATGTTGAGATTCAGTTACCCTTGCTGGTGATAGTCAAAATTCCAACCATTGTACTTCTCGGTACTCTCTTTCAGACACCATTCACCGCTGCTTTCATCAATCTTATTAATACAGCACCACCATGACACAATCTCTGCACATGAGGTGAAGCTCAACTTAAAGCGACGCACAATCTGCAGATTTAAGGTGAAAAAGTGTTAAATACAAAACAATTTAAAAATAATAAAAATTTAAAAAGGACATAAAAAAAACTGCAGAAAATTTGAACTTACTGTAAAACTGCTTTCTTGTACATCTTTAATGGTGTGTGTAACCACAACACCATGATAAGCAGCTTCTGTCCAGCTGACCATCAGCAGCAGCAGCACAGAGAGCAACATGATGAACGACTCAGTTCTACTAAACTAAGATCATCAGAGACAGACGACTTTATACAGTCTCTCCTTATTCTCTCTGTTTATTGTTGGAAACATGGGAAAATTTCCATGGACTGTATTTACATAATGAACCAGGAAATTCAGACACCTGATTGATATCCATCAGAAAAACATTTCCTAGAATGTAAAATTAGTTTTCCAAACTGAAAAATAATAAATCTATTTTTGATTCACATAAGTAACTTTTTTGGAAAACGTACTTTTAGGAGTATTTTTACTATTTTGTACTTGAATAATGTTAAATAAAGTATTTCTTCTTTTTCTTGAGTAAAGTTTCTGGATTCTGTTCCCACTGAATGAAAAACATGTTTTAACCAAAACAACAGATATGATCACTTTCCACGTACATTCAAATCATTTTTTAAAAATAAAAAAAGATGGTCCAACAAGGAAATCCCCCAGTACACTGGGGGATTTTTGTTTTTTGTTTTCTTTTGCTGTCACGAAACAGGCAGAGGGCAAACTAAGGTAAAGATAGCCTGAAAAATTCATTTCTGTAGGTTTAAAAGAAAGTGTAAAAAGTCTGAATATTCTGAGAAACAAATGCAAAAGGAAGAACACACATAAACCAAGAAACTAAACTAAAAGTGATGAACTATATTGCGACACCTTACTACCAATAATGAAAATAAAGAAATTACGTAAACTTGGCAATATATGGCAAAAAAAATCAGAACCCAAGCAGCAATAAATCATGACATCTGTTGTTTCTGCATCTTAAATTAATGATGAATCAACATGCTTATGGTTCGTATATTAGCTTAGCACAAGTTCAGCCCAAAATAGTAGCCTAAATTAGTTTTGCAAACTGAAAACTAATAAATCTTTTATTGCTTCATCTCAGTTTTCTAAATCCTGCAGCACTACCAGGTTAATTATTTATCTCTCCTGGTCAGTTTTTGTGTTTAAGTGAATATTTAAGATGTTCACAGATCAGAGCTGATCAATACCAGTTCACTGGTTTCACCAGATACAGACTTTAATAGCTGCAGACCAGCAGTTTATCTCTGCAGTTTACACCAATAATATCTGACATATAATCCATATTATGATTTTGTTTGCTTGTTTTTTATAGAAATATTTCCAGATGAAATTTAAACTGATACTTACTTTGGTGAAAACCCTGTTATACAGTCAATGTTTAATTGAAATAATCTGTAAATGATCAGATTATTGAAAGATATTATGTTTTAATTTGTTCTTCTGCCTGCTGACTATACAACTCAGTAATTTTAGTCCTTTTTTGTCCAGACATTTCAATGAACATCAAATATTTTAGCTGAGTGGCTGTCAGGTCATCCATCCCCTGAAACTGTGGATTTGAATATCAGGTTTCCAGTGAATCCATGTTTTGAATAAACTCACAGGAAGGTCTTTCATGGACGGATCAGGCAGATTCTAATGAAACCTATTTTTAAAACGTGGGTCTAACAAACAGCTGTAATGAGCGCCATCATTTGTTTGGCTGCTATTTTAAATATGTTTTACCTATTCAGACGGATTAGCTTCTGTTCTGACGGTGATTAAAATAGCCTGAATGATGCAGGTAGAACTGAGCTCTGTGGTTTAGTGTTGGAGGCAGGAATAGGAGGAGCTCTGCAAGATCACACAACCAGATCTACTGGAAAAAAGTGCAGGTGTTGGTGGTGAGGCAGAAACGCACTAATTCCCTTTTCTCAACAGGATATCTGAACAGAACAAAACATTTTTTATTGCGTCTTCTTGAAAACAAAACTCACATTTTCCTGTTGGATGTTTTCCCATTTTAAATAAAGTTCTATTTAACCCTGAATGACCAAAACATCATCTGTATTTAATGGCTTCCTCCTTCCTATTTCCTCCTGTTCTCCTTTTTACACAACTTTTCTTTAGATTTTGTTTCTACCATCTTTCCTCCACCTTTTGTTAGTTAATTAATTTGATTTCTCCTTTCCTGAATGGTATCAGTCTGCAGTTAGCCTCAGTGTTTATAATGAGCGCCCCCTAGTGTTGTTGGCTCGCCAGCATTTTCCCTGCCAGCAGGTTAAGTCTTGTGAAGTAGATTGTTCTTTAAAGAGAAACTGTTTTATTTGCATCATACAGTGTTCTTTTATGTGTCACATAAATGTAATTGTATCATAGTCGAGATGTTTTTCCGTGCAGCTGCAGAGGGTGTACAAACTAACTGAACAAGATGTGTCTGCTGAACAGTGGCGGAGCCAGAGGGGTGGCCGGGGTGGCACTTGCCACCCCCAACAGAGCCCTGGCCATCCCCTACAGCCACCCCACTGGAAATGGTAATTTTAAAACATAATACTTATGAGATCGGCAAAGATTTGCCAGGAAAACTGTAATTTCCGACTGTCCCTGAAGGCAGCTCGATGCCCGACGCTGTTCATTGGTTAAACTGACATGTGGTTCCTGCTTTTTCAAAAACACATCAACGGCTCTAGAGTTACACCATCCAGGAGTTTTGCAGGTATTTACATTTTACCGCTCAGCTGTAACCGCTGTTACCTTCCTAATGAGAGGCGGCACTTGTCATACATTTCTAAAAAGGAAAACAAAAATGGTTGTGCACCGCTGCATAGTGCATTGTTTATTATATTAGCCATGCTAGTGCTGATAGATCGTATTTTAGACAGATTCTTTTCACATATGTTTTAGTGCACATGCTGCCCTGTAATGTTTTATATCTCCCAGCTCTTGCTTGAAATGTATTTGGTAAGAATATGTGAAAAACCATTAAGTTTTATAATGACTGAAATGTAAGTAGGCTATGTCATATGAAAGCTTTGAATTATAACCTAACTAGTTATATTAATTAATTTTAATTAATGTATTTTTAATTTAGTATTATTTTAGCTAGCTACAGAAAACTAAAAACTATAGTTTAAATAATAGTTAAAATAGTGTTGTCTCTGCCAAACAGTCATGGAGTCTAAATACCAGGCTCTTATTTTATGTAGAGCCCAAATGAAGAGAAAAGGGAGGCAAAAACCAGGGCCAGACCAGGACCAGACAGAACCCTGCAGCATTGACCAGGACCAGACAGAACCCTGCAGCAGTGACCAGGACCAGACAGAACCCTGCAGCAGTGACCAGGACCAGACAGAACCCTGCAGCAGTGACCAGGACCAGACAGAACCCTGCAGCATTGACCAGGACCAGACAGAACCCTGAAGCAGTGACCAACCTGGAGAATCCAGCCAGGAGATTCCAGGCCCAAGTGTATCACCAGCGGGTGAGAGGCTGTGATAGAGAGTTATTAAGTATTAAAATCCAATAAGCCTAATTCTAAAGGTTAGCATGATGCTTTTTGCATTTTTTATTGTGTCTGTTTATGCATTTCCAATTAAGTTCCAGAGAGATGAGGGTGATATAGATTCAGAGTCAGACTCTGGGGAGGAAGACAGTGAAGCAGAAGGAAATGGCACTGAACTGCCCCCACCCAGCACAACCTATTGCACACCAGAAGCACCAGTTTATTTATTTATTTTTGAGAATTTGTTTTTGGTCATATTCTGGGCTCTGAGTTTACATGTTCACTGTTCCATAGAGCCGTTTAACGTCTTGTTTGGTCATGGCAATCTTAGTTAAATAAACCATTTTAATTTGAGTGTGTGTGAGAAAATATTTGTTTCCTTTTGTTCATCATTTGCATATGGACCCTCTGATAAAGCCTTGCTCACCCTTTGGCCACCCCTTGAAAAAAAGTCTAGCTTCGCCACTGCTGCTGAAGTTTCCCAGATGGGTTATCTGGGAACCTGCTGTCTTTCCCGTGGCCTTCCCTGCATGGAGATTCAGTGTTTAGTTTTCACATCCCGTAGAAATGATAGTGAATGAGCGTGCAAGGTTGAACTGTTCCGTCTGTTTTCCTTTGTTTGGTCCTTGAAGATTAAATCTCCGCCTCTGTTAGCTGAGAGGTGAATAAAGCAACAATGTAACTCTGAGTTTGTTAGAGCAGATTTTTCCTCAGTTCATGTATTTCTGTTTTCCGGCTGTTAGCGCATTAACAATTGATTTTGCTCCCTGACTTTTGTCTAGATCTCGGTCTCTGAATTGTGCACTTCACAGTCTCCACCTACTTCCTGACATAAGCATTTAGAAATGTTTCTACTTTGTTTTTTACATTTCTATCACTGCTTCCTGCTGTACTTTAGAGGTTTTTTTTTTCTTTTTGTCAGTCTGTTAGCTTCTGAATTGTGTTGGTTTTCCTTAGTATATATGAGGTCATTATATTGTCAAAAAATATTTAATCAATATCAAAATTAAGCTCTGTTTCTTTACAGCAACAAGGTCTTTGGTTCGAATCCCGACCTGGTACCATTCTGCACGATCGATTCCGAGATCCATCCCTCCATCTCTCTGACTGCAGTTTTCCTCCCGGCCAGCAGTCGGCAGCAGTTTGGATCCAAACTGGGAGGAGAAGGAGAAGAGCCGCTGCCGTCCTCCGGGCTCAGTCGTTTCAGGTAAACGGTGTTTTCAGCACAGCAAAGCAGTCAGACCGCAGCATGAACGATAAAACTGGGCCGCTTTCCTTTGCAAGAATTTCCTGCTAAACGTCTGTTAGTTTTACCGTGACGTCACTAACCGTCGGCCGTTAGCAATTACATTCTTAGCTTGAACCTGCTAGCATCACTGAAGGAAATAACTTGAATTTGTCGATGTAGGTGATTGTGACTTATAAGTCCTCTTTCTGACATGATGGTTTTTGTCCTTGGTTATAACTGGGGAGGATTTTGCAGACTATTTCCCAGCATTGAGCAAAGCAGTGTTTTGTTTTTAGGTCATCGTGATAAAGTGTCGCATTTATCGTCAGACATGAATCCGTTATCAACATGTTGTCGGTGTTTCTTCCGCTGAACCGGTAGTTTGGTTTCACGTTTTAATTTCTGAGCGCTAATTCAATGGATTTTATTTATAATGCAATAATTCACTGTATACATTATGAACAAGCTTTCTGATTCTAGTTAGCAAACAATAGAGTAGATTTTATTGTTATTTAGTAAAAAGTTATCAAAGGAAACCTGGAAAATTACATTGAGTCGTAAACTTGTAATTTTATTGTTGAATATAGTTATATACAACTGTGCCTCAAGTAATTAGAAAAGTTATTTCAGTAAATCAAAAAGTGCATAGTGCTACATTTCCTTTGTTTGTTAATTTTGATGATTTACAGCTGATTGAAAATCACAAATTCAGTTAATCAGAAAATCAAAATACAACAAAACTTATAAAATGGGAGTTTTAATGCAGAAATGTCATGTTGTGCCCACAAACGTTTATTCCTAGAGAAGCCAGCTGTTGGTTCTGTTTCATTCAAGTGTCCTAATGGGAAGTTGAGTGGAAGGAGGAAATTTGTCTGAAAATGAAGCACTGTGTGAGTTTTAATTCTGTGATCAATTAAAACAATCTCACAAATTTCAGTTTGCATGGTTTGTTGTTTTTCTCCTTTCCCTGCTTTAGAAATTTGTTTACAGACTTCATAATTTATTTTATTTGTTGTTTCTGTTATTTTGTTTATTTATTTTGGATAGTTAAAATGTCTTCCAGTGGAGTGTTAAATATTAATTAGAATTTAAAGTTTATTAATCTTTTAGGATATGTTCTTGGATTATTATTCCTCTACCATTAGATGACTTGAAAATGTTCTCAAAACATTATCGTTCATCGCAAAAATTTCTGGGACAATTTATCATCCAGAATTTGCTGTCATGACAGAATGTCACTTTCGTTTTGACTCATGTATATATATATATATATATATATTCTTAGCTATATTTTCTTTTCTTTTGATTTCAGGCTTAATGAGCGTGTTTCTCTAAGGATTTATCTCATTTGGAAAAACTTGAAGATCTGGAGTTTGCTTACATCATGTCACAATCCACCCAGAACCAGAATGGACCATCCGCGAAAAAACTTCCCAAGGGATTTTCTAATCCTGGACCTGCATCCAGGTTGACTTGTTCTGGTTCTGGTTCTTCATCTCTTGCCAACTACCTGGCAGCTCAAACCACATCTGTATCGGATAATGATAAGTTGGTAGACCGTGTCAAACATGCAGAACATCATGGTATGAACCGGAAGACTTGCTTTAGTGAACGAAATGATTTTACTTCCACCTCTGCAAGGCCATCAACATCCCATGTAGGTGCTGATTTAGGTGATTTCTCCTTGGACTGGCTCCCCATTTTCAAATCAAATACTAACAACAATCCACCAGCGTTTTCGTCTGGTTCTGATGGCAGAATGGAGGTTGTGTCTGGTGAGCAGAAAGACGACAGGCCGTCCATTCCAGGGTCAGGAGAAAACCCAGTTCCAGGCAGATTTATTTTGTCGTCTGAGTTCAGTCAGCTAAAACATACCGGAGAACCAGTCGCTGCGATTCTTCAGAGCTTCGGCCTCGAAGACGGATTGAAAAAAATCGACCCCCACATTTTGAAGCAGGTCAATCCTGCAAAACTGTCCTGCGTCTTGCATCAGATTTTTAGCAAGATGGAAACAAACGGAAAGTCTTCTGAACACCAACCTAAACTAAAAAGTATCCTGAAGCCAAGCAAAGTGAGGGACTCTAGTTATGCGGATGTAGAAAAGAACAACAATAGTCGGATTGTAGATGAGCTACCACCAGATAAAAGAAGTACAACTGCATTAGGCTCAGAGAAGACTTCTGTGGCTCCAACAGATAGTGATCCACCTGAGCGAGTAAAGGAAAAGGACGCAATATCTGCCACACATAATGTCATTTCTAACAGTAATGCTGAAAACAAACAGAAAACAACAGAAAAGCAGAAACCAGAGCAGCAGAAAAATGTAAAACATAAATCAGAACTGAAGCTGGACGAGCATCTACAGAACAAGCCAGCGAAAAAGTCTGAGAAAGGTTCTGTCAAAACGCCACTCGGCAAAAACCGTAAAGACCAGATGTCAAATTTAAGCAAACTTCCTTCAATAGTCCGGGAGTGGGTGTTGGAGCAAATGAAACTGTTGGAGGACAAGCAGCCAACGCTTGCCATGATTGAAGACTATAATGGCGTCACGCCGAGGTTTTTCCCCCATCAGTGTTCGCTCTGCGACGTAATATGTCAAAAATTGGGGGTAAGAATTTAATTTAAACTACATTCTGGTGCTACATTAGATTAATTAATTGATTTGAATTATTTATACATTTCAAATTAATTTCATTTTTCTATTTATTGTGATTGATGTACGTAGTCTAACACAAAGGGTTATTAGATGTAGCGATTATTGCACAGAATGTAAAAAAAACCCTGATTTTCTATTTTCAATAGATATAAAAGTCATTATCTTTCAAATTACAAGAAAAAAATTTGTATGAGAATAAATAATAATACCAGAATAAAATTTAAATACGACTTTATTCTCGTATTATTTCAACTTTATTGTGGTAATATTATGACTTCATTCTCATTTAATTTGGAAATTATTTTCATTAGTGAGGAAATAATGAAATAAAATGATGCATTTTGGATTACAGTCAATTCTTTGCCGACAAAAAATTTACTTTAGAGGTCAAATTTTTCTCAATTTTACACCCTTTGATTGGTGACAAAACTGTCCAGTAATGTTTTTTTAATGCTAAATAAAAATAATTGTAAATGTTTTTTTTTCTCTGCAAGCGTTGGTTCCTCCACCTGAATGAAACGAACCACATTGGGAACCGGATTCTCCTGCAGCTGAAGTCAGTTTTTACCTGATTCTCCTTCAGACACTTTTATCTGAACTCATACTTGGTTCATTTATTGGTAGACAACCTTTTGTGGCAAGAAACTACCTTCCTCCTTTCCCTGAAGATTGTCACACAGTGCCTATAAAATCTGTTCACCTCCTTGGATGTTTTTACCATTTTTATTTCTCGTACAAATCAACCAGGAGCAACAAAATTAGCCGTTTTTGACTCCCCAAAAATCAACAAAAGAAGCACTGAATGTGCTATCAAAAATTAATTAAAACATGTGAAGTAAGTGATGGATTTAACTGAAGTACAGTTGAGGTTCAGAATTTTTTGATACTTTTTCAATAACCTTTTCTCAGATTACACACAAATCAAGAACTTTCCAAACTTTTCCAAAATGCTTAATATTCAAACTACACATTTTGGTCATATAGTGCAGACTAATGTTAGTTTAAAAGCCTAAGTTCAAAACTGAAACCAAATATTTACATACAACTAATAAAAAGATACAAACATATTTTTTCTTACTGTGTGAAGTGAAGTAAGAATAAACTCTTTTTTTTGAAAAATGTTGCTTCTCTAACACAAGAGAAGCAATATTCTAGCTTTGCTAAAAATATTGGTAATTTTAGCAAAGCTAGAATTAGAAACATTATTTTTATTGGCTAAAAGCCAGAAAAGCTTTATTGTAATTTTATTTGGATAAATCAGTCAAGTTTATTTGATTGGCACATTTCAGCAACTAGGTAGTTTTAGTCTAGGTTTAAAGGAGCTCAGTGTTTCATCTATTTTGTTGTTTACTGGAAGTTTGTTCCAGATTTGTGATGCAGAAGCTGAATATTATTTGTTAATCATTTACCTTAATACAATTTGCTTGGATTGTTTCAATGTAATGAATATTTGAATATTTTCCATAATGGCTCAATTACTTAATGATAATTCAAAATATTAAACTTTGTTATATCTTAGTTTACTTTATCTCTGCTGTTGAATGTAAACTAAGAAAAATCTACAAACGATTAATGACTTATAAATCAAAACTTGTTCCAGTCGACCTTCTTTTGGTGTTGTAGTTTGGCCGCCGTCCAGCAGAGGGCGCTGCCGGTCAGCCGTAGATACAGAAACAAAGAGAGAAACTGGCGGAGTCCAGATGGTGCAAAATGAAGCAAAATGTACTTTATGCGGTTTTGTTTGGAAATATAAACACTCGATAAACTCCTTAGGTTTTCAGTTTAATTCAAAATGACTAATAGTTGATTGTTACCTAAAAGAATACAGCGCAAAATGTTACAATATTTTCATGTTTCTTGTTTGAAACAAGTTAAGATGTATTTATAAGAAACATAAATACATTTGAACAATTTCTTCAGCATATTATGAATTTTTTTTCCCTTTATGATGAAAAGACAGGAGAAACAAGAGTTTTTAACAAAATGGCTGCTTATCAGTTAATTGTTTGTTGATTTATAAGCTTAGTCAACTTTAGATCAGCTCAATTAAATATTAACTTATAAGTTTTATCCATAGTATCGACTCTATTTTTTGTTTAAAAAATCCACATTTTGTTGATTATGATTTTTAAAGTAATAAAAGTGGTAAAACATCCAACTGATTATTTTTTAATCTTTTTTTGTAGTCAGTTGTACTTTTAGATTTAGGAGTTGAATTGTTTTGTAATGTGTTCTTTATGGTTCTTCTTCCTTGTGCTAAATTAGTATTTTTGGTTCCACAGATATCCTGAGTGGGTCGCTAAGATCCAACCACTTCCCAGGTAAACGTCTGCATCCGAAACAGAGGCAGTCAGCAGCAGATTTTACTGATCTGATCCTCATTTCTGTTTCCTTTTTGTTTTTATTGGTGAAAGAAAAAAAGAAAAGAAGTCGCTCGTAGATTCTAAGAGTTTGAAACAGCAAAAAGTAAAAGCTGATGGTCACAAGGAGTCCAACAACCTGCGGCATCACCAGAGTCAGAGATCACGATCTCGCTCCCGCAGTCCGCGGGGGAAATGCCGCAGGTCCAGCACGGTCAGCTCCTCAGGGGATAAAGGAGAACAGCAATCCAGAACCGACCCGTTTGTAGGGGGAAAGGCTGATCCAGAACCAGAAACTCCTGCCAGGTATACTCCAGAATCAGGTGCCGAAGTCCTAAACATGTTTGGACTGGACAAAGAGGACCTAAAAGAACTAGAGTCCTACCCTGAGGATCAGCTGACTTGTGAAAATCTACATCTGGTTTTACGTGAGATTTTCCTGCGGAAGAAGAGACGAGCTCTCGAACCTAAAAACGACGAACCTGGAGGCCGAGATCAAACGCTTCCTGGTCCTCTGAAGCCAGTTAAAGTGATTGACTACGGACATTGTGCTAATTATAGCACCCTTAGAGACACAATGGAAACAACCACTGAGGACGATCCAAATCCCACTGGAAGGAAAGAGTCACCACTGGAAACATGTGACAAACCAACAGAGAAAGACACCCAGTCTATAACAGCTACTCAATCTACTCTGAAGGTGATGTCCAAATCCAAAAAGCCCAGCAGTTCAAAGGTTAAAGGTCAAGAAAAAAGAGTGAAAATTTCAAAGAAAGCTAAACTGAAGCATAGCATTAAAGCAACATGTGAAACTAGGAAAGCTTTACCCTGTGCCGTTTCATATACAAAAGTGTCTCCGATCAAATTACCGCCTGTTAAGAGCTTTATTTCCAACCATCTGCCAACACTCGCCATGATTAAAGACTATATATCAGCCATGCAGACAAGGTTCCCACACACCTGCTCCATCTGTAACAAGAGGTGCTTCCACATGGAGGTGAGTGAACGCTAGCTTCCTCTGATGTTAGCAAAGCTTTAGAACATTTATTGAGTTTTTATTGAACAAGCAACGAGAGCTGAGATCGGCGACGGCTGTTCATGTCCTAGAAACACGAAACAACTCAGAAGACAAGATGGCGGCCAACGCCATAGCGATACGCCAAAACTCTTTAAAAAAAAAATCATCCACTTGAACCAGCTGAATTATTCAACTGGTTCAAGTTGTTTTAACCATGCCACACCCATAGGGGGCAGTGTAGGGAAAGATCAAAACTCCACTAGCCAAAACAACGACTTCCTGTTGGGAATTAAACACGGTGCCAGGACTTTCGTTTGTGTGAACAGACAGGTTGAACAAATAGATAAACAAAAGCATTTATAAAGTATACATGCTTCTCTTTGTGTTTGTATATTAAATAAAACCACATTCAATTTGAGGTTTGTGGCTGGAATGTGACACAACGTAGAAAACCAACAAAGAATGTGGATAATATCTAAAGCACTGTAGTATTAAAATCTCACTGTGTTGAAATGGTGTCAGCGATAACTGACTGATTTGGGTTGAATATTTGTGAATATGCTGTTGTTCCGGCTCCCAGGACTGGCTGTCACACCAGAACTCCAGCTTTCACCTGGAGAGCTGCTCAATCCTCCGGACACAGTAGGTCCTTTATTTTAAAAGGCTTTTTAAAATAAATAAATGAAAAATATCTGTTGTTTTACTGTCCTTCATTTCTTTATGCAAGATGACGAATCCATTTCAGGTGTTTCAAACCAAATTGAACTCAGATGCTTAATATATGAAAAAAGCACAAAAATTGTTTTTCTCACTGTGTGACATTAATAATTCTGTTTTAGGATATATAAGATTACCAAACTTGTTTATATTTTCTGAATTGGCTGGATTAAAGTAAATAATTCTGGGATTAAAGTTAGAAGTCTTAAATTATGTTCTAAAGTATCACAGAAAAGTAAGAATTCTCAAATTTCTAAAGAAAATAAATTTTTGTTTAATTAAAATCAGAATTCTCAAATTAAAAATAAAATAATGTTGAAATTCTAAAATTGAAGTCAGAATTCTAAGATTACGGTCAGAATTTTCAAATTAAAGCCAAAATTATCAAATGAATATCAATTCTCAGATGACAGTCGATATATTTCAGATTGACATGGGAATCTTCAAATTGAAATCAAATTTCTCAGATTAAAAATTTAATTCTGGCTTTTTTCTTATATTTCTGTTGAAAAAAAAAACATCTTTCATTTGTCTTTTAACCCTTCCACGGTCTTGATGCTCATGTCCCGGCTGGGCAGCAGGATCCCAAAATCATTCACACAAAAATTGTAAAATTGAAAGGTAAAAAGACAGCAGGAGGGTTTAGTCGCCAAATCCTTCTACATAGGTAACAGCTGTTTATGCTAGGCTAAAGAATCTCAGCTGACTCATCTAGTAACTCATGGATCAAACAAACATTGTTAGAAAAGAAGAACTTCTTATGTTTGTTCTTGTTCCACAGATACCCACATTGGGACGGGGATGTTCTACCAATCCTCAGGTAAAACCCTTCTACCTAAAACCCTTCTACCTAAAACAAGAAGTAAACCTTGAGTCCTTTGAACTGATTTAAAACAGTTTTGTTTTAAATCTTCATTATCATAATTTTAGTGCTGAAGCTGAAGGTCCATTGACATTACCGTTCCGTTGGCATGATGACAGTAACCTCCATCAGTATCACAGTTCAGAGGGTCAAAAGAGCAGCTCCCGGTCCTGGTCCCGGTCTCGCTCCCGGTCCTGGTCTCGCTCCCGGTCCCGGTCTCGCTCTCGGACCAGATCGCCTTATGACCGCAGATACAGCCGCAGGTTTGTCAGGAGAAAGAAAAAGCAGAACCAATTTATCATAAATAAATCCGCCTGAGCCACATTCTGCTCCTCTGTTAGGTCTCCGTCTCATTCTTGGTCTCCACGTCTCAAAAAGCCGTCCTCCCTTCCCTGTCGCTCACATTCAGGGAGTCATGAGAGACGGTCGTCCTCCGGGAGGAAAGATGGGAAACGGTCTTCATCACCCAGACGGAGCAACGAGAAACAGAATCCGGATCACAAGAGCTGATGGTCCACAGAGTCCCTGTGAGAAATCACAGGGCAGGAATCTACAACAACAATCAGGTATGTGACCAGAAAACCAAAGAAAATATGTTTTATTTGTAAGGTTGTCAACATTAAAACATCCATATACAAGTAAAAGTAAAAAATACCCATAGAAGAAATTATTCAACTAAGAATAACAAAGTATTTGGTAAAAAGTATTTTCAAGTACTGAGTAACTGATCAAATTATCAAGCATTTCATATTTAAAAATTATATTATCAGACAGACCAAAACTTAAAGTTAATCAATATAAATACTATAAATATGAAATGACAAAATCAGACTAAAGGAAATTTTTCCAAATTGTTTTTATTCAACACAGACCTGAAGAGATTGGAAGTAAATCTGCAGGTGTGTCTCTGGCTGGTCAGTGTTTGGTTAAAACATGTTTATTTTTCATTCAGTGGGTAGAAAAATCCAGACGTTTTACTGAAGGAAAAGCAGAAATACATCATAAGTCAAAAGTACAGTTTAGTAAAAGTACTCCTGAAAATATTTTTACCCCATAATTATGAAAGTAAATTTGATTAAATGTAAATAATTTCCCATTTTACTGTCGTTGCGAAGCGACAAACGACAGAAAAACGTGAAAGTTTCCAGCGACAGCAACAAAAGTTGAACATTTCCAGCTTTCTTGTGTTGAAAATCTGCACATTTATGTGAACGAGCTCAAAATTTCTCTTGCACAAATTACACAGGTTACCCGGCTGGACGAGGGCAAATTAATGGACATTTCTAAATTAATGTTTAAAACAAAATGGCTTCCTTGAAACCTTCCTTCATATAACAACCTGGAAAAATGAGAATCTTTAGTCGTATTGGGCTTTAGACAAAACATTTTCTTTTTGAAAACAGACATGCAGTTGCACACAAAAAGAAAAAAAAAGAGATAATTGCTTGAATTTTAATTGATTGAAGTGGAACAGAAGGAGGGACTTTGTGAAAATCAAAATTATGACTCTGTTTCTTTGTTTTTCTTTGTCCATTTTGCTTAAAAGCTTTTTTAAAAGCGGCGCTTGACAGGATTTGTTCGACATGCTCGTCTTCACCAGTGACGCCAAGCTGGAGCATCCAAACACGAAGCTCCATATTAAAGGGAAGAAGAAGAGTGCTGGCAAATCTGTGGTCAGTGTTGAGGGGAAGGATTGATGCAGTTATTTTTGTGTTTTATAACAGTTTAATAAAATATATCTGTGAAAGGACTCTGGTGTCACGTTGATCCTCACTAGAGATTATTCACGACTGGAGCAACAATAAACTGCAATGAACAAATAAAAAACATCATAAATTATATTATTAAAGGCTGATATCCATCATCCATCCACTTGGTGTCATTTTACTGCACAAGTAATTTTGTTATCTTCAGACTGATTTGTATTTTTATTCTTTATGTGTTAGTTTATTTTGTTTCTCTTTAGTCTCTTTTAAAATAAAATCTATTCACAGAATTTGGATATTAATTGTAAACTATTTCTAATTATTAAAGCTCTATGGTTCGGCTTTACAAGAAAGAAATTAAAAATATTAACAGAATCAAACTATTCTTCATGTTCAGCTAAAGACACTAATTGTTTCAGGTATTTATTTTCATGATGTAAAAACTGAATTACCTGATAAGAGGGATGATGCTGGTCTGTGGTGATGAGTTCGGTCTGTTGATGTCGGATCGTTTTCTCAGCTCATATGTGATCAGAAATCGCCCAGATGAAACACCGTTTCTGTTATTTATCCAGGTTGGAGTATCCCACCTTTAATAGAAGATATTGGGAAGATTTCTGATGTTACTCAGAGTTTCAGAAACACAGAAAACTTTACAGACCAGGAGACCAGAAAACTGACAAGAAATTTAATTCAGGAAGAATTTTAGATTTAGTTACTTCTTGGGAACAACTGAAAAATGTTGGATATTTTTGTATGATGTTGAGATTCAGTTACCCGTCCTGGTAATAGTAGAAACTAACCATTGTACTTCCAGGTATGCTCTTTCAGACACCATTCACCGCTGCTTTCATCAATCTTATTAGTAGAACCCAAGTATGAATCACCCTCTGCACATGAGCTGAAGCTCAACTTAATGCGACGAACAAACTGCAGATTTAAGGTGAAGAAGTGTTAAATACAAAACAATTTAAAAATAATTTAAAAAGGTCATAAAAAAAACTTCAGAAAATCCAAACTTACTGTAAAATTGCTTCCTTGGACACGTTTAGAGGTGTGTGTAAACACAGTACCAGTATAAGCAGCTTCTGCCCAGCTGACCATCAGCAGCAGCAGCAGCACAGAGAGCAACATGATGAACGACTCAGTTCTACTAAACTAAGATCATCAGAGACAGACGACTATATACAGTCTCTCCTTATTCTCTCTGTTTATTATTGGAAACATGGGAAAATCTTTTAATAGACTGTATTTACATAATGAACCTGGAAATGTCAAACACCTGATTCATAATAATCAGAAAAACATTTCCTGGAATGTAAGATTAGTTTTGTTAACTAAAAACTAATGAATCTATTTTTGCTTCATCTCAGTTTTCTAAACCCTGCAGCACTACCAGGTTAATTATTTATCTCTCTTTGTCAGTTTTTGTGTTTCAGTGAATATTTACGATGTTCACAGATCAGAGCTGATCAATACCAGTTCACCACTGGTTTCACCAGATACAGACTTTAATAGCTGCAGACCAGCAGTTTATCTCTGCAGTTTACACCAATAATATCTGACATATAATCCATATTATGATTTTGTTTGCTTGTTTTTTATAGAAATATTTCCAGATGAAATTTAAACTGCTACTTACTTTGGTGGAAACCCTGTTATGCAGTCAAAGTTTAATTGAAATAATCTGTAGATCATCAGATTCTTTAAAGATATTATGTTTTAATTTGTTCTTCTGCCTGCTGACTATATAACTCAGTAATTTTAATGTTTTTTTGTCCAGGCATTTCAATGAACATCAAATATTTTAGCTGAGTGGCTGTCAGGTCATCCATCCCCTGAAACTGTGGATTTGAATATCAGGTTTCCAGTGAATCCATGTTTTGAATAAACTCACAGGAAGGTCTTTCATGGACGGATCAGGCAGATTCCAATGAAACCTATTTTTAAAACGTGGGTCTAACAATCAGCTGTAATGAGCGCCATCATTTGTTTGGCTGCTATTTTAAATATGTTTTGCCTATTCAGACAGATTAGCTTCTGTTCTGACGGTGATTAAAATAGCCTGAATGATGCAGGTAGAACTGAGCTCTGTGGTTTAGTGTTGGAGGCAGGAATAGCAGGAGCTCTGCAAGATCACAACCAGATCTACTGGAAAAAAGACCTGAGAGCTCTGGAAGGTTGCTATGACAAAAGCAGATCTTTATTGTGTTGTGGTATTTTAACGTCTGAGCTTCAGGGAGCCAGTGAAGGGACTGTAGAACCGGGTGATGAGCTCTAACTTCCTGGTTTAAGTCAGAATCCCATCAGCAGCATTTTGGATCTTTTAGGCCGACGTGTGAAGATACTGTTGCATTAATCAGTGAGACTAAAGATGAACACATTAATGAGTTTCTCTAGATCTCATTAGTCCTCTCATCCTGAAAATGTTCTTCAGAAGATAGAAGGCTGATTTTGTAACTGTCTTTATGTGTCTCTGAAGGTTCAGGTCAGACTTATCGTTATGAAATTATTGCATAAAGTTTTTCATACAGATATAAAAATCCACTGAACTATTTCTGTTTACTGTCATCACTAAGTTTAGTCTGACAACCGTTGAGATTTTTCTGCTGTTGCTCGTCGTCTCTTCTCGTCTCTCCAGGTCTCTAGATGCCGAACGTTAAACTGACAACAATCACAGATCAATCAATATTTTATTCAATCAATCAAAAGCATGAAATCACAGCAACATCCCAACATGATCATTGATGATCACAAACAAAAGGAAACATTGATCACCTTGATAGATACAGAGAAGCGTCTTCAGAGAGCACCGTGTCTCACCAGTGATCTGACCAACTGTTGTAGCTCACATTCATTTATACCTGGCTGTGTCCAGGTGGGTTTTCTACCTGGGCCGTCCTGACCTTGGCAGGCAGGAGATGGACGCTCTCCTTCATCATGATTTTCTACCCACAGATAATCCAGGAGTCATTTTGAACAGAATGTTCTTCTCAAGGACGTGGGACTGAGTTTATCAGTTCACTGGAGCGTTCCACTAAGTTCTCCTCCCTGCCGTCCTAAACAGCCTCAGACTGGTTTCTGAGACCACAAGGTGCTCTCCTTGACCCCTCAATGACCCCTCAGTGACCCCACATGTCAGTTATACAGAAGATTGATTACAAAGAATTGATACACATAAAATATAATGTTCATAAAGAAAATTGAATGACAATCAGTTTAAGATCAATACAAAATAAAAAGATTAAATGGATGAAAACCCGACTGATTAAACTACAACTGATTAACCCATAAATGAAAGACTAAGTGCTGAGTAACATGACTTATAGAGTAGAAGATAGTAGACACAACTAAATGCAGCTCAAATGTTTTACAGTGCATTTGATATTTTAAGCTGAATAAAAATCCCAGAGATAGAAATGCTGCACATGAACACAGAGTAGCAATCCCTCTGTAAATATCAGCTTTAATAAAAACATGATGCCAAATATTGTCCTTATTTACTTTGTATTAATAATCTATAATAATAATTTGTGAAAGTTTTCCTAATTTTATTAAAAGAAAACTATTGACAGACTAAATTACTGAAAACAACCATAACTCCCTGAAGTATTTAAAATATACAAGAAGCTTAAATCAAATTTCCTGCAGGGATCAGATTCATTCTCCTGTTTGGCCACTAGGGGGCAGCTGTTTTATTAGCTATACCGAAGCTTAGCAGGTGAACCTTTATGTCTGCAGGCAGCCCTCCTGTAATCAGTTGATCTCGAATCTGCAGAAGAAAACATGAAATCTATGTTAGATACAGTCATTTAAAATCTTCTAGTTAAAATGGAAAAAAGTCAAGAGTTGAATTTAACCATCACAACACAATATTTTAATAAAATAAAGATTTATACAGAAGAGGAACTTTAAAATATTGTAGATATGAAACATAAAATCTAGCAGGTTTTTTATCATTTAAAAACTCTACAAACTAAATATTAAATGTTGATAGTTTTTATTATCTTTGGACTTTTTGTATTTTTTTCAGCAACAAGATCTGGATCACTCATTCTTTATAAACTTTTGCTTTATTTAGTGAAGTTTACTAAAATATATTTTTAATTGGTTCATATTTATAGCATGGAAGTTAATTCTTTGTTACTTTACAGATTAATTTAAGTTATGAAATAACATTTGGGATAAATTAATTAGGATTAAACTCAGGTTGTGATGGTTTGTGTTAAAGTCCAGGACTCACTGACCGCTTTCTCCATTTCATCTTGTTTGTCTTTCAGTGACATCGAAGTCTTGATCTTCAGCTTCACAACCTTAACATGAGCTGGAAGAGCAAGAGATCAACATGGAGTAAAGAACAACTTCCTGTTACTTTCAGTCCTGTTTTCATCCCACTTACATGTTTTAGGAGGAGGACTTGTAGTTGTCAAAGGGAGAGCAACAGTGGTTGGAGTCACAGCTAAGATAACAGAAACATGAGTTCAGGAAATAAAAGGTAAAAATAAATCAAGGATGAAAATAAAGAATTGACTCATCGTCCCACTTACATGTTTTAGGAGGAGGAGATGGAGTCGCTGTGAAGGTTGCTGGGATAAGAGCAGCAGAAACATCATGAGTTCAGGAAATAAAAGATAAATCAATGATCAAGAAGAAAAACTCACTGTTTGAAACCGTCACAATGACGCATCGAAGCTCAGACTGGTAGACAGAACTGGAGGCACTGGGGAGATAATTGAACCACAACATTAATATTAAATTCTTTTTCATTTATTAATGTTCAAAATAACCATAAAGGACAAATATTATGCAAAATCCAGTGTTTTAGTACTTATATTATTTCTTTATATTGTAATAAAATAAAATGTAACTTTATTCTCTCCTGATGCTGCATAGACATCATTTTTCATTCTGTTCATGTTTCTCTATTTGTTATAACATTATCTCTGTTATGATGTCGCCACGTTTTCTGTGGAACTGATAAAGGAGGTCATGACCTCCAGCTGGTCAGTTTTGAGAATCCGCCATTTTTTACCTCAACGATTTAATGGTCCAAGTTCAGTTGTGCAAAGTTTGAAGTAAACAAGTCAAAATTTGGTTCTAGGTTTTATTAATGCAGAGGATTTCTTACATCGCCTCCCAAAATCAGAGCCTCTTTGAAGGATCTGG